TGGTGTATGATGAGTGGTGTATGATGAGTGGTGTATGATGAGTGGTGGTTGAACAGCTGTTGAATGTCCGTAACACGGAAGTTTTGCACACTAAACTTCCTTTGACTATGACGATCTCTGGCATATTGAATTTCCATTTCATGCGCCATGCCAGTCAGGCGCCGGAAGTTCCCCAGGTTCGGGCCCTGAACGGCCCCAGGTCGAAGGTTTGGGCCCCAATCTTCGCTTTAGAGTTTGGTATCCGTAACAAAGTAGCGATGGCTGCTACTACTCTATATTAGCCCCATGTTGCAAGGAGTTTATATTCACGCTGTGGGTGTACCAATCGGGCCCCGGAAGCTCCCAAGGTTCGGGACTCGAACTTCGCTTTAGAGCTTGTGCGACCACAAATCATCCAGCCAAGAGTATCTAAGCAGGAAGACAAGCAAAGAGACGAGTGGAGACAAGCGTAAAAAGATCTGGCCAAGTGTACCCAGAGTAGGCCGAGACTGTGCAATATGCTGGGGCGCCACTCCCACAAACAAAGATGTGAATGCAACCACGTGAAAACAAAGGCGCGCAAGAAAGTGAACGTGTATGCAACACGACAAAGCGAAAGCAAATGCTGCCAAGCGCTGTTTTGCTGTGCTGACATCGATGCCTATGTAAAGGCGGCGGTAAGTGAAATGAATCACAACGTCGAAGCGTCCACAAGCAACCACAAGGAAAGCTCACCACTGTATCAATCACATCCCAAGAAGGACATGTTTCCTTGTTGTTGCCATTCTCTGCTTTCTGCGCTCACGTTGAGCCTTCCTGATCCCTGCTCTCCGCTGTTCTTCTTCTCGATCTTGCTGAGTCTCGACCAGGCACAAACATCCGGTGTTCCTGAACCGCTGCAGCAAATCCGTAGCCATATCTTTTGTCAAAGGATCAGCAACCTGTTTCCAGGTTGGTACCCAACGCAAGCGAAACACAGAATCTTCAACCAGCCTTTTTACCATCATCATATCCAAAGCTGCCTGCTTCTCACTGGCGATACTTCCAGTCTTGTTGACATGATCGTTGAGGCCTTTGGCATCCGTGATGATGATGCCTCCCACTCGGAGCTCCGTGCGCCACTTTGGAGAAATCT